TGTATTTGAATTATACAGTGTTGTGCAGAACACGTAATATGCATTAATATGCGTGTATTTGAATTATACAGTGTTGTGCAGAACACGTAATATGCATTAATATGCGTGTATTTGAGTTATACAGTGTTGTGCAGAACACGTAATATGCATTAATATGCGTGTATTTGAGTTATACAGTGTTGTGCAGAACACGTAATATGCATTAATATGCGTGTATTTGAGTTATACAGTGTTGTGCAGAACACGTAATATGCATTGATATGCGTGTATTTGAATTATACAGTGTTGTGTAGAACGCGTAATATGCATTAGTATGTGTGTATTTGAATTATACAGTGTTGTGTAGAACGCGTAATATGCATTAGTATGTGTGTATTTGAATTATACAGTGTTGTGTAGAACATGCAATATGCATTAGTTTGTGCTTTTATAATGTTTGTTTTACTTATTTTACATGAGAGATCCTATAGTAATGAGTGAAATCCTCTGTGGTTAAACATTTTTTTAAAGGACAGTCAAAAAAGGACAGTGATGGTTACTTTGATATTCAAATATTTCTCCAAAATGTTCTGTTCAGAAAATATCAAATTGTAGAGGTTTGAATCATGAAATTAGAGTATGTATTTTTTTGGTTGCTCAGTAGTTTTGATTCTACATGTAGAATACATAGGAATCTATATAGCTTATAATTCATTGAGTGATTTCTTTCAGTTCAAAGCTGCTGAATATGTTGTCTGCAATAGTATGTTGAAACAAATATTATTGCAAAACTTTTAAGTATGTTAACCCTTTCCAGATGGGTCACGGGTGAAAGGCCATGTCATTGTGTTTTTTGACTTGCATTCAAAATTTTATTGAACTACAATTTCATGAATTTATGTCAATAAGTTTGGTATCGAACTGTAGATTATAATTCAAATTTTAGTATTATACATTACTCAATTTCTTTATTTAAAAGTAAATATTAAAAAAACAGTTAAACATCAATTTTTGTTTTACATAGTATGTTGAATGCAGCACTGGTTCAAATTAGATGTTTGTGATGTCAAAATACTAAGTCTATGGTTTCGTACAAATTAGGAACCCAAATTACCAATATTGACAAGCTAGTATATAAAATAAGAACCTGTTATCTTTTCTATTTGCTAAGATATTGTTCATTTAATAAATCAAATACAATAGCATCCGTTTTTGGAAATGCTCCATTATATACACTTCTATATATGACATGAATAACCAATCGAAAGCTCAGAATGTCCCCCTAGTGGCTTTCTTAG